GAGTAGGTATTCGTAATTAGGGTTGAATCAGTATCATGTTGAAATTCGGGTTTTTGATGTTTATTCAGCATTCCGTTTTTCGGCATTCTGTTGTAAATCCTACATTTCGTTTTCTATTGAGATTTCCGTTGTCTTTCAGTATGGGAATTAGGGTTATGAAAATCTTTTGGTTTTAGATCAACTTGGGGGAAACCCGAACGTTTTGGGACCGTGAATCCGGAAATTTCGCCGAAACGCGGAAATTAGGGTTGGGACCGAAATTTTCGCGAATTTTTTTTTTTCGTTCTCCTTGTTTGAGAAATTCCGAAAAYAGGTTTAGGCTTTTAAAAATCGGATTTTGACGGTGGGAAGTCTCGAAAATTCGCATTTTTGAAAATTCGAGCGTTTTTCTTCTGAAATTTTCCGAAATTTTTTAGCACACTAAGCCGTATCTGACCTTAAATTGCAACTACCGGGCAGTCCACTTATTAAACGGTGAACTCCCGGTCTCATATCGATCTCAAAGAGACCTAATCATAATACCTTTCAAATTCGTTATTTAGTGATCTTTATTTACAAACATTGTTTACCGATTATCATTCGGATTTATTTCGTGAATTATCATTAATTAAATTTTATTGATTAAATCGTTATAAATTCCTTATTACGAGTTTTTCGAAGGGTTTACGGGAAATTATTTTTTCCGTTTGATTAGGTGTCTATAGTCCATCAGTGGGACAGGGGATTGTATGTATCTTGCTTGTGATTACCGGGACTTCTCAAGTACCGCATCAGCTCAGACTGATGTCGACAAAACAGGACACCGGGGCACTGCCACGACGCAGTGCCAGAATCGCAGTTCGTGCCCGCCCTGCAGTACCTCCAAGACCAAAGAAACTCAGCAGACGGACAACTCCAGCAGCATCAAGTACGGCATTGACGGTACAAGACGCCACCGGAGATCATCCCRCATACCCAGTCCGAGGAGCCAATGAGCCCGCGGCTGATTATCGTGGGCGGCTACTGGCATTTTCAGAAGCCGTAGCTGCCGTCGAGGCCCGGAAGGAGATAGCAGAGGCAGAACGTCAGYGGCTAGCCAATGAAGCGGCAGCCGAAGCTCAGCGAACGACTGAGACTGACGCAGCGACACGAGACAGACGGAATGCCAGCAGCACGGAGTCCTTGATTGCTTGTGAGCATCAGTGGACGACGGTACTCCAAGACATGATCATTGTGCCTACAGAAGCGCAGGCAGACCCGACATCGGCGGAGGCAGAGAGAACTAACCAGGCTAACTTGCTGTTGGGCATGATGAGAGGTATTATGTGGAATAATACATTGCTGCAGTCACATCTGCGCGTGGACGTGATGCAGCGACAAACATACAAGAATGATATGACTACGTTAACCACTGCTATCCGCACAGAGGCAATGCAGCAGCAGCAACAGCATCAACTGTTGAATTCCACTGTCACACGCGTCAACAGCATAGAGGCTAACGMMTMAGCAGCGCCAGGCTGCACGACAGACGTGACRAAGCAACTCAACGAGCGCATCGATCACGTCGTCACCATCATCGGCGACATAAGTACGTTCACTGGACCAGACTCGATCAGCAGCACGGTGGCCGCCATCAAGACGGACCTCACCAAGCTACAGACGAGACCGGAAGCCGCTACAAAGACGTTCAAGATGCCGCACTTCGACATCAGCAAGTTCGACGACTACAACAAGTCGGACGCCTTGTCATGGTGGCAACGCTTCCTCACGGAAGCGTCATGCCGCATGGTCCCGGCGGACGACATGTTGAAGGCAATATATCTGCAGCTGATTGGGGGAGCGCAGGGATGGATGAACCACCTAGCGGCTACACACAAGTGCACTATCGCCGAACTCCACACGCGCATTACGTGGAAGGAGTTCGAGCAGCTATGGTTCACCCGGTTCATGGTCCGCAACGTCGTGAAGGCGGCCATGAATGAGGTGTACACATGCTCTCAAGGGAACATGCCAACTCGAGACTGGACAACGAAGTGGCAAAAGATAGTGACCACAACAGGTTTCGATTTGACATTTCCAAATCAACGATCCGAGTTCTTCTCGCGATCATGCGCAGGATTGCGGTCGGCACTCGGTAATGAGTACGACTATACCACATTCCAGGCCATTCTGGATCGAGCGAACTTGGTCATCCAAACGGACGACAAGGCCGCTAACGAGAGGCAATCCCAGCCGCACTATGTGGCTAAGCAAACCTATCAACGTCCGGCACATAACAATGCCGTATTTCCTGAAGAAATCGACGACCACCACGCAGCGGCAGCATCCTCGAGTGATGGAGGAATTGTCGCAGCGCTCCCGCCGAAGCATCCGAAGAGAGTGCGCAAGAACAAGGCGACACAAGGGACAGCGGCGACGGGAGCTGGGCAGCAGCCATGGACGACTTATAAGATCACCAAAGAGGTCTATGACCTACGTCAGAAGTACGCATACTGCCTATGGTGCAACAGTGTAGTACACACTACCGCACAATGCCCAGACAAGGGCAAGGCACGCGCACCCCGTCCANGAGAGAGAGAGAGAGAGAGAGAGAGAGAGAGAGAGAGAGAGAGAGAGAGAGAGAGAGAGAGAGAGAGAGAGAGAGCACCAAACTTGACGAAGCTTGATGGCGACCACCCTGCTCCCGCTGGCTGCTGCCGCTGACATCCGCCTGCCACTGCTGCCCGGCTATGGACGATGGCCGATGGAGGACTTTGATGAAGACGGGCAAGGGTCTTCGATCACGATGGCGGCCCGAGGACAAGCTGGAGGACACCAACGAAGTGTCTGGCGGCCTGGGTAGGAGATCACCTCACCCAACGTTCGAATTCGAACATTGGGCCTTGGCGCAGCCCGGAAAAAAAATAGTGCGGGCCCGATTTCGTTTTTTCGGCAACCCCCCCTCTCACTTTCACCCCGCCCCCCAATGTTTTTTTGTTTTTCCTCGACCCTTGTTTTAGGCCATGCGGCGCACGTGTGCAAGTGCCGCGCACGACATGCGCCGCAAGTATGCTTCCAGTCGTTGTTCATCTTTTATCGCCTGTCGGGTCTGCTGCTTGTGTGTTGTCTGCCCTCCCTCCTCCCCCATGCCCTCCAGCCTATGTGTTGCCTTGCTGTTTGTGGCCTGTGTGTTTCATTGTTTTCTTCCTTGCCTTTAGGCTCGACTCCATTCAGATGCGTATTCTCCTCCTGAAGTGTTGTGATGGTATGGTGCATGTTTTTTACTGTGCAGAGGTGTCCACAATATGTGTTCACACACATCATCACACACACAGTCACACACACACACACACACACACTCACTTGCACTTTTTTTTTTTCACTTTTTTCTTCTTCTTCGATCGATTGATTGATTGATTGATTGGTGGGGGAGGGGTCGCCCCCCCCCTCCAACACACACACACACACATTTTTGTGTATTCTTATCTTTTTTTTTGACAGTTTTCGTTTTTTTATTTTCAAAATACCAAAATGCCAAGAATATGAGTGTGAGCGATACACATAAAACCAAGTTGCGAAATCACACAGCTGAGCAAGTAGTAGTATCCCAAGTAGAGAGTACAAATGCACCGAGAAAACCATCCATAAAGAGCA